GAAACCCGTTCCCCGCCCCCCAAACCCCCTCCCCAATCGGCCGCGGCCTCGGTCAAAATTATCGGCCGCGTTCGGCCGCGGCCGGGGGCGCCCCGGCCAGGGCCGGCGGCCACGGCCGTGGCTGAACCAGGCCGCGGCCTGGGGGAAACATAGCCATTGTCTGCCATGGCTCAAGTTGCAGGCAGCATCAGCACTTTTGGGCCATCGTGAAGTCGTGGAAGCTCTGCTGCGTTATTGTGTGACCTGACCATGGCTGATGGAAGCAAGTTGAGGGCAGTAGTAGTCAGAGGCGGGCACTGCCACACCTTGTACGAGTGAGAGACAGAGAGAGGGGAAGTGAGCGCGGAGACATTCAGAGACGGACAAGGCCAGGGAGAGAGAGAGAGAGAGAGAGAGAGAGAGAGAGAGAGAGAGAGAGAGAGAGAGAGAGAGAGAGAGAGAGAGAGAGAGAGACATACCTGCTTGCTTGATGTAGCCGGAGGTCATAGCCGCTGAGGAATATACATACAACTTCAAGTTTGTGAATACTTTTCAAGTGGCTCATATCATGTGAACCTGGTACTTCTCTTGTGAAGCTTGTGTGGCATTGCATTCATGGTCTCGAGTAAAGTGGGTGCCAGAAGCCGCGAGTTGCTTCACCAAAGTTGGGTTACCCGAAATTTTGCACACCCCTCTGGTAACCCCCTTGGATCCGGTATGCCACCCCTGGGATTTTGCTCCTTGTACACCGGTGAGTATTGCTGGATAGTTGTGGCCCAGTATCATGTGAATCAGCCCCCTCCTCAGAGGGAGCCCTCCCTGTTGTGCCACACAGGAGGACTTTAATGCGCAGTTTTAAGTTCACCACTGCGACAGCTGTGCACCAGTTACATCCGCCCTAGCCGTATGACAGGACAGGGCCAACGGGGCAAGCTTTCCCTACCCAGGAGGGTGTCACCACCTTTGGGGTTCTCCACCGAGTTACCGATGCCCGTACGCTAGCTTTTACGTGCTGTGAGGGCATGTGCTCATATGCCAATGTGGTACATGCAGCTGATAACGGCTTGGCCAGCCCGCCCGTAACAGGCAAACAGTCGACTAGGCTATCTAACTCCTTTCACTCCTAGTCCCTTCCTCCACTTCATAATGTTGCACGTATGCGCACTCCCTCTCTTGAAAGTTCGTTTTCTCAAGTTCCATGCAACACAGATGTAGTACCGAATGATCTTGGCATAATGAACCCTAACCGCACGTTTGATACCACCTCCTGTGCGTAGTGAAGGACGGGATCTATCAGACCTGGTGAGACTTTTCGCACCCACGCGGCACTTCCCCTGCCCCACTCCACCGTGGATAGATGACTCCTAAATGATGCATCCGCTCTAACGTGTGACACAAAATTGTCTTAGAGCCATCGTGCCAAAGCAACACATCCCCCATACGGCAGGGCCAAGACATGTCTAGAGAAAGCTCACACATCAAACTATTCAAAGCTGTACCTAACCCACTCGTGGCCCCAATTTTTTTCTTTCTTTTGTGAACTGATATTTTTCAGAGGGGAGTGGCAGGGCATATCCTGTTTTTTTGTTGACCTCCATTTTTGGGGACACGCTGCACTGTGTGCACGTGCATGGTTGCACGTTTGCATTGTGCCGCGTGGCATGCACGCAGTGCGCCGATAAGTATGGTAATCAGCTGCCAATCTGTGGAAGAGGTTCTAACAGTGTGAGCGTCCAGAGAGAGATGATGTACTTCATGAATTCACACAGGGACAAGAACAGGGAAAGAGGTCAAAACGAACCAAAGTCCAGTACTTACAGCAAATGGAGCCCCGAGGATGGCGAAGATCAGAGTGGAAGCATAATGGCTCCAGTTGCCCAGAGTGTGATTGTCATTTGCAGAAGCAACTGTTTGCGCTAACATTGATAGTCTCGCCATTGCTGTCATGCAGGCAAACTGGATGAAGTTACTCAAGGCCCAGATTCTTTCCGACCCCAATAGACGACAGAGCGGGTCGATCATCAATGCCGTTCCAGCGCCAACCACCTGCGAAAGGCGCAAAATGAAAGAAAATAAGTCTCAGGATCTCCGTGCTACCAAAGATAACACAAGACCTGTGTATCTGATAGGCTGACACAAATGACATTAGAGTGGATGCAAAACAGATCTAGCATCAGAGGCCACGGCTGCTCTTCTACGCATCTGGAAGTTACCGGAATTTCTTAGGACTGAGCTGCTGTATTGAAATGGACTGACTGATGAGTCGGTGACCGACGGCCTGGGCCAAATGACCAACCGGCCTACCTGACCTATCAGGCATATGGGTACAGACGGGTCTATCGGTTGGGACTACAGTAAATCGAACACTGGGAATCCAGGACTGGAATTGGGACTTGCACACTGAGACGTGTGAAATCATGTCAAGTATGCCAACCTGTGGCATAGGTAGCTATGACATGACGACAGAGGAAATGTCTGACATTTTTGTCAGAATTACATGCACTGGGGAGAGGGGCCTGACATTCTATTAATTTGTATTTCAAATTTCGTTTTACAAAACACAAACCGTTCAACTTAAATTTTTTTATTTTTTTTTCGTTTCCAAAGAAAATGGAAAGAGCAAGAACATCATACTTGCGTTTCCAACAAACCAAGTGCTCAATGCAAATACATTGGGGGGAAATGGTTCACATAAGAGGCCAACAGGTCACCACAGCCACTCCATGTTCATTAGGGGGGGGGGGAAGGGTCCACATATCTGCCCCCCACATGTTGCGTCACCCACTCGTGAACATGGAGTCCAGCCCCATCACATCCAAGGCCAGATCGTCCTCTCACTCCCCCTCCTCATGTCTCTCTTGCCCCTCTATAAGCAAGCAAGAAACCCACAAAATCGAAAAAGAAGATGCAAAACTTAAAATGCAGGCAAGAAAACATAAGCTGAAAGGAATGAAAAAGGACGAGATGAAACAAAAAGGCAACTAACAAGAAACAGACTCTCTCTCTCTCTCTCTGTGTGTGTGTGTGTGTGTGTGTGTGTGTGTGTGTGTGTGTGTGTGTGTGTTTGTAAAAAACACAAATTCTGTGTGTGTTTTAGATTTTCCCCACAACAGCCCCAATCCCACCCAGTGAATAGATTCAGAATCAAAGCAGTCTTTGTCCTATTGGAGACAAAGAGAGCATTTGAGATGTCCAACACATTAAAGCAATTTTATAATTAGACGGTTTTTTGGTTGTCCTTGGGGTACCCCTTTCATTGTCCTTGCAGTTCCCCTTTTACTGTGCCTCTTACGCACAAGGCTGCCCACGTTGATTGTGGTTGAGCGGCAGCTGCCCACATCCCCGTGTGCCTTCACGGCCCACTTGCACGTTATTTCAGGAGGCAGAGTAAAAGGGAAGGTATGCTCCTGTGCATCTCTTCAGAGCTTCATACTCCTGTTCATTTCACTTCCGATCTTCAGCTTATACAGTCTTTGTGTCCGTCCTTCATCTTCATACTTCCGTTCATTTCATTTCTGATCTTCATATTGTCTATTCTCTTAATGATGCTCATTTGTATGTATTTGTTAGTAGCACAAAGGAAGTGGAGGGGAGGGTGGAGGGTACGGGATAGAAGGTGGAGTTCTCTAGGAGTATGGGGCAGGGGAGGTAGGGGCAACGGGAAGGAAAGAAATATGTGGAGGCCAGGATAGAGTATGACATGCAAACAGCAGGGGAAAGGTGTATGACGGGTTTCACAGATTTCTAAATATTCACCGCTGAAGCAGACGACCAAAAAAAAAAAAAAAACCTATGACGAGTGGCCACCCCTACAGACCGGACAGGACCGGTTCGGGTGTGGGCTATGGAAGCACCACATCCAATTTTCGCAGTCACAGTTGCTGCATCGAATGGCACAGCGCAGACAGATGTCACAGGCTACGTGGCTCGTACATGCTAGGAACACAGAGGCACGTCGACCGCAATTATAGAGGCATTGTCGTTCCGGCCCGTCTACAAATTGGACATGACATGTCAGGGTGCCGTACATGAGTACAGTACTGACTATCATCGTACGTATGGAAGCAAAAACTCGAATGGACTAAACCTTACATAATCCTCACGGCACAAGGCATGTGAACCACATGCTAGTTGAATCTCCGGCGGGTCATCACAAAACGGCATGGAGCATCTTTCTTGGGCTTCCTCAGTATGTATTCCTTCTCTATGGGCAGACGACGACAGGGAGGATCGGTCCAACGCAAGGGCATTCAGCTGCTGCAGGATATGATCGGCAACAGCTCGCCCTGGTGGTGATAAACTATGAGCACATCGCTCTGCCGGTGGTTCATATAGAAGTCTATTTTCCTCCTCGGACTGCTGTGTTTGTCGTTCGTCTGGCAAAAAAGAGGGAGATCCGTCAGCGGTTGCCGTAGGTGTATGACCAATACCGCATATGGGACATGCTAGGAGAGGATGTGAAGGGTGATGGTACCGGGGATAGTCCACGCAGTAAAGACACATACTTTCTATGACAGCTTCCTGGAAGCATTGACGACACATGGCATGTTGCTGACATGCCATTAGTATGGAAGGCTGACGTGCACAATTATTTAAGCATGGCGGATCAAGGCCACAACGGCATGCTGGGCAAGTAATCAGGGGGTGGGGGGGATGAGCACAGGACTGGGGATCACAATTTTCGTGTGAGAGGCTACCAGCGACCATCCCTTCATTGTGTTCGGAGCAGAGGCTATGTCGTGTACATGCCAACCGAACTGTAGCTGTGCGACGACACAACGGGAGGGCACAGCCATCATCCTGTGGAGAGGTCCTTTCACTGTTTATGGTAGAATCAGCCGGATTGCTCTCATCAGCTACCCTCTGCTCAATGACAAGGCATCAGCAACTTTGTTGTACTCCCCCTTCAACTCCTGAAGCAACTAAGGTTGTTGCGATTCAGGACTGGCCGCAGCCTACCACAATGTGTGATGTCTGGTCATTCTTGGGTCTTGCCTCCTACTACAGAAAGTTCGTCATGAACTTTTCTGCTATTGCTGCACCCCTAACTGACCACACAAAGAAAGACACCCAAAAATCTGCAAACTGATCCTGCATCTGAACCAGGATGTTTACTGGTTTCAGGTTTGCTGTACACCTGGAACAGAGGAGAAGAGCGTTTGTGCATTCCCCAGGACCGCCAGCCGAGAAGACTCATGATGTCTGAGTGTCATGATGCTCGCGGCCACTTTGGGGCCTTAAAATCGCTGGCAGCGCTGTCGCAGTGATTCTTCTGGCCAGAGATGAGGACTGACCTGCTGCACTATGTCGAAACTTGTGAGTTATGCCAAAGGAATAAGGTTGTACGTCAACCTCCCCTTGGCCTACTGCAGCCACTTCCCATCCCTGATGCACCTGCACAGTCAGTGTCTATTGATTTCACTGACCTGGGGAGGACTACTCGCGGTATCCGTCAGGTCATGGTATGTGTGGACAGGTTTTCTATATATGCAGAGGTCATTTCCCTGCCAGAGGAAGCTAGAGTCCCGGCCTTCCAGGCGGCCTTTGCTGACCGGTGGGTTACACACCATGGACCACCCACCTCTATCGTCAGCGACCGAGATCCACGCTTTTGCAGCAATGAATGGCAGTCCTATTGTAAGGACTACCTTCATTCCAGACTGGGCATGACCTTCGGTCGCTATCCTGAAGCCAATGGGCAGGCTGAAGTGATGAACCAGATTCTCTTCCAGTTGCTGCGTCCAATGATCAGCCCTGATCAGCAGGACTGGGATTTCCACTTAGGACGGGCACACAGCTAGTACAATACGTATCCAGTGTTTCAAGCCTCGAAGCTCTTACCTTGCGTGACGAATGAGTTGTTTCCCAGTCGCAGATCGGCGATTCCCCCTAGTATGGATGGGAAATATGATGTGGACAAGATTGTTGCTGAAAGTACTCTTCAAACTGGACGTAGAAGCAAACCCCAGCAACAATATAAAGCAAGATTTGCATATCAGGACCCAAGTGAAGATCGCTGGTTCACAAGAGAAGAATTGATTGAGTCTGCGCCTCATATTGTATCTGCTTATGAAAGAGCAAGAAGAGGAATAGACATTATAGACAGATGAAGGTTTTTCTCAGAGGACTTCGAAACTAGGCCGGCGAGAGTAAAAGTGTCTTTACCCGTTCAGACCCTGAATGACGGACACAGCATAATGGGGTCACTCGGCCAGAGCCCAACTCGTGAAAAGCAGGTCAGAAGTCACATCCTCACTAAGTGAGAAGTCATGTCAAAGGTAACAGTCGTGCCCCAGGACGAACAGTTGCAACATTCAATTGTGGGAGTCGTACCTGTTCGCCCAGGGGGCTGTGCAAGTCATGTCTGTTCGGGCAGTAGATGTGTCTGTTCGTGCAATAGATGTGTCTGTTCATAAAGAAGTCAAAGAGATAAGGTCCCAGTCCAGATCCAAGTCAAAGAGGGAGTCTAGATGCAGACTGGCAGTCCAAAATCCAGGCCTGATGGCCGCCGCAGCAGCAGACCCTGAGGGTAAGGTACTGGGACACACTTCACAGAGGCTTGGGACTGGGGACAGACCCAAGGAAGACTGATTCAGGCCTCACGAAGGGAGGCCAGCACTATAAGAGACCAGGCCAGCCTCCCTACACGACAGATCTCCACTGGCATAGATGCGTGGAAGTGCTGAAGCACTTGTGCGCTAGCATGCAGGGAGAATGCGCTGGCTGGGAGTTGCGCAAGCAGGAGAAGAAGGGGCTGGACGCTGACTGGCAGAAGCAGCCATAGCTGTGCCAGCTTCGTTAGTAGTAGAAGTGTTAGTAAGTAGTCTTCAGTGGGTAGCATTCATAGTAGATTCTCGTAGGTAGGGAGTGTGCATGAATGGTGAGACGAGGGAACCAGGACAGAGATCTTGAGAGAAAAGAGAGAGAGAGAGAAGATAGGTTGAGGAGTTGGATATGGTGGGTAGTTGCCTGTTGGCGCCATACCTGTGGTCCGAGGGCAGACGCTGACTGAGCCAGGCCCTATGCTGAACGATTGAACGAGAGAGACTTGTATTCTGTTGGCGCTGAACTTTTGGACTCGAGATACTCTTTGTACAATATTGTTGTGATAATATGAGCTGCGCTATCTGGTTCTCTTCTCATCTCGACTTGGCTTTGTGAGTTTTTCTATCTGTGTGTTGACATTTATGCATGCGAAGTGATACACTCCAGCAAGCTGTGAACAGTCAGGTTCCTTGCACAACTGTCTGCGACCCATATTGGAAAATGCTGAGATAAGGGCCTCTTGTGGATATTCAGGCCCGCCTTCACTTAGCGCGGGCATGAGGCTTGCTGGGGGCCACAGTCTACCACATATGCATGCTGTTTGAGGCCCCCTGAGGGCACATTCCTCGCAATACTCTTGAATTGTGCGGTTGATCGAGGTGATTGACGATTGGAGAATTCACGAGTCATGCAGAGTTCAGACTTCCATTGCATTGCTGACCGGCTTTCCGACGAGACTGGGTTCATTACAGTTATACTGAGACATGGCTTCATGTCACATTGGGAAGGAAATTCAAAGAATGTAACAGGAACGAATGTGAATTCATAGACTGTGAACTTTTGTCCTGAAAAGAAGCAGCTGAAAAACTTCTGCAACCCTTCCTTCTTCAAGCTGTGGCTATTTCAGCAAAGGACAAGATGGGCAGGAGAAAGGTAGTCCCAACGGGTATTCACAGAAAATCGGAAAATGTGCTTCCTCTAATCAAAACAAGAGACTTTTATGATCAAAACGCACTTACCGAGTTGAGGAGTAATCCGAGCGCTCCTTTCTCTACTCCTTCCTCATACTTGAGATACTTGTCGTGATCCTTCGTCTTTGGCTCTCCTCCGTAGATCTCACGGCCCATGAAATCTGTAGAGTACAATAAGAAAGGGAACCATGCCACCTGCAACATATCCCATCAGGCAAGCAATTCACAGTTTCACATTCCTGTAATTGGTTTCTAGTAACTTTCTACGCGTCTAGAACTTTTTACGCCTACACTGCACCGCATGCATTAGGAATAGAGCACTAGCTCAAGCCAACGCTCGTCTTTCCCATCACTATTATGTCCATACCTATCCATCCCCTCCCCTGCAGGCATACTGGCATCAATAGTTCACAATGGTGGGAACACTAGGAAGCTCCACTTTCATTCTGCACAGCAGGTAATATGTGAGGCACATTGACAATCCTACAAAAGAGTTCTTGAAGATGCGAGAACAGGGAAAGAGAGAAAGGAAAAAGGAGCACAGACAACCGGTGGAGTAGGACGACGGAAGAGATCGTGTGCAGTGCACGCTGCACCTCAGCTATAATAGTTCACAATGGTGGGAACACTAGGAAGCTCCACTTTCATTCTGCACAGCAGGTAATATGTGAGGCACATTGACAATCCTACAAAAGAGTTCTTGAAGATGCGAGAACAGGGAAAGAGAGAAAGGAAAAAGGAGCACAGACAACCGGTGGAGTAGGACGACGGAAGAGATCGTGTGCAGTGCACGCTGCACCTCAGCTATAATGTATTCATGCAGATACAGATCCAAGTATGACAGGTTATTGCAGGGCTTACCCTTCTTTCAGGCTGCTGATTGTTCTTCAGCTGCGAGGAATAACTTAGATATGGACTATTTTTGAAGAAGTAGACACAGATTTAGAGTGGGTGGGGACTGGACAATGGCCGGGGCAAATCAGGAAGCCAACCCTCCTTCAGGAAGAAATCAATGTTGTCAGAGTTCTCCTGGCTGTAACCAGGCGAAGCAATGGGTGGGTTGTTCTTGTACGCATCCAACTTGCCAGCGAAGGAAGAAGCAGTCCTCGGAAGATGGTTTCTTCCCAGCATATTTAAGAAACGGACCTGAGGAGATGGTGATTGGTCCCGCAGCAGTGCCGTCCTGGGACGCTCGGTGTTTCGTTTCCCGCATTGCGCTGTGATATTCGAATACATGAAAATAGCAGGTCTGCATGTTAGTCATGGCGCACTCCGTCCTTTTTCCGGCGGATATTCGAATACGAGTACATAGCAGGGCTGCCATGGTTTTGTTTTTTGCTTTGCAGCTGGTGGAGTGCGATTTGTTGTTTTCTGGCAGGCCCGCTGTGCTCTTCCTTCCCCCCCCCCCCCCCAAATACAAGTACATTGCTGCATGTGTATCTGGCGGACTTTCCAATACAAGTACATTGGTGCATGTGTATCTGGCGGACTTTCAAATACAAGTACACAGCAGGCCTCTGCCTGGCAGGCCTGCTGTGTTTGGTTGTATCTGGCGGATGTTCGCCTGTTTGGACGGAAAGAAGACATGTGACTGCTACCAACGAGGCATCGTCACCTTTCCCACACTACATAGTGCCATCCAATCCACTTACTATGACCCACCCCACACAGTACCACCCGACCCACATAGCATCACCTGGCCCACAATGTACCACCGAGTCCACATAGTATGACCCACCCCATATGGTGCCACCGAACCCGCTTAGTATCACCCACGCCACACAATACTACCCTGCCCACACAGTACCATCCACTCTACAAAGTATAACCTGCCCCACATAGTACTGCCCAACCCACATCCCACATAGTACCGCGGGATCCACATGGTATCAGCCACCCCATGTATAAACGACCCCACCCCCATAGTATCACCCAGGCCACACAATACCATTCAGCCCGCATAGTGCTGCCTGGCTGTGGCAAGAGCCAAACGTTGGGCATGCTTTTTTTTTTGTTTTTTCCCGTGGCCATGTCTGTTTCTTTCTTATTTTGTTTGCTGGAGTGTGTTTGTACCATCCAGTTCACATAGTATGGCCCACCCTGCATGGTGCTTCCCGGTCCGATGGTACCATCCAACTCATGTGGCATTGTGCAGGACATTGGATACTGCCACGCCCACATAGCTGTGCCTAACGTGTTTTTTTTGTGGCAGTGTGTGTTTTATGGATGTCTGTGATTGTACCATCCAGTCCGAATAGTATGAGCCACCCCACATGGTACCACCCAGTCAACTCACATAGTATCACCCTTCCCACATGATACTCCAGCTCACACAGTACTGCCTGGCCCTGCGAAGTGCTAAGTTGTCCCTGACTTTGGCCATATGGCTTGGCCCTTGGACTTTCCTTCTTCGTTTCTGTAAATCTTTTCCTGTTTGCCATTTTGTGTTTGCTTTTCGTTCGTTTACATTTTGGTTTTCGCACCACCCAACCCACATGGTATCACCCTTCTTGCCCACAAAGAAGCACACTCGGCCCACATGCTATCGCATAGTACGCGCTCATTTGGATTCATGTCTGAACCTCCCTCCCATGTTGCAAACAGGAAAATTGCAAAGATGAACAACACAACACATGTGGATCTCATCGTCCTCCAGCCACAGCAAGTCTGTGGTGCGCCACGACTTGTGTTTTTTGAAAGAAGAAAAAGAAAAGACAGGTTATTGCAGGCATCCATCAATCGATTTCCTCTGTCAAACACAGCCAATAGTTATTGTAGTGGTAGCTGGCCTGCAGCCTGGACCTCACACAACCGAAACGGCCATGTATTCTACTTGAGGAAAGACATTATTCTTATATCAGAGAGAAAAGATAATGAGAACATTCATAAGTCCTTTTTTATAATGGCAATCTTTAATCCCCTACAGCCTCAAATCATTTACGTTCCACCTTCACGAACATGTACATCATTTATTTTATATGCTTTGCTGCTTAATACTGCAGAGAACAGAGACAGCAGCCTGACACACACACAACAGGTACGGCCAGGCACTATGCTCAGTACTGACTGGCATGTAACTTCTTCTTTTTTTTTTTCTTTTTTTTTTTTGGGACCATTTCTCGATTTATGCGTGTCATCCTTGCGCAGGGGCCATGCTAATCTTCTCTGTATCGTTCCAATTTTAAAGGATGTCCCAAAGGACTGGACTGGCACATAACTGGTACCCACAATGCACATCATTTATTTTCTCTGCTTTGCTGCTTACTACTGTAGAGATCAGAGAGAGAAGCCTGACACACACAACAGGCACGACTAGGGATATATTTGGTACCAACTGGGACACAACTGGTACCCAAAGGCTACCAAGGGTCCAAGACAGCAGCGCGAGAACCAGAGAGTGGACCACCACCAAGCACGAGCACACCAAACACAACAAAGGACCAATGAGTCCTCTACCTAGCCAACAATACCTGGTACCAACCACCATACCCGGTACCAACAAGTAGCAAGACAGCAGCACCAGGACAAAGAGTGGACCAGCAAGGACCAGCACACAGGCCAAGGTAACCATGAGCCAACGAACCCATACCTACCCAACTCAATGCCGTCACCAGTAAAACCATCCTCATGGGTGTTGTCAGATTACGCAGGCCTCCCAGCAAATTTGAGAAAAATCCATCTACTTTGCCACGAATCCCTGAGACCAGCTTATCCTCCCTGGACTCTTTCCCACTTTCTCTCTCAGCAGCCTCTGAAAACCCCCTTGGAGAAAATTCAGAGCCTAGATCCACCATTTCAAAGTCCCAGTCGCCTCGGCCCTTTGCTCCACTGTCACTCCTTTTCGGGAGGACTGTCTTGGGTTTCTCACTTTTCATTACTCGTGCCCTGGGACTGGTGTGAGTATGTCTTCGTGGACCAGCTTCGACATGTGCTTTTGTTGGCTTTGGAAGCAAAGAGGCGGTCTCTGCCTCCTCATCCCTTGGTAGATGTGGTGGTACAAATTGCTTTTCAGATGCAGAAAAAATAGTCACGACCATAGAAAACAGCAGGAACACCTGCACACAAAGAAGACAAAACAAAACATCCGCTGTAAGTTTGCCTTTGCAGAAAGACCAACTACTCGTGTTGCTTTGGGAGCAGGGAGGATGTCTCCACCTTCTCTTCTCCTGTCCCGGCAATTTGAGTACGAAGCAGGGCTGTAAACCTGGACCCACCGGGGGGTCCACCCCCAACCGGAACCAGGCCGGTGGGACCGGCCAGTCCACCGGGCCTGTTGCCCTCCGGTCGGATACAGCGCCTAGGCAAATACTCGCCAATTCAATTTTTTTTCGGGCCAGGAGGCCCCCATGCGGGTTGTGGGGCCCTCCTGGCCCAAAAAAAAATTGAAACGGGTCCGGTAGCGCAGCCTCCAAGTTTCGAAAAGGGTTGCCTCTCTGGACCACCGATCTCGAAAGATCAGCGCCCCAGATGAGGCCTCCCTTTTCGAAAGTTGGAGGAGCTGCTGTTCCCTCCCGCCTAGGAGTTCCCGCCTCCCCCCCGACTCAACAGCCGTCCCGTCAACAGCCCAACGCCCCCGACGTCGTCGCCCGTCGCCGTCGTCATCGTCATCGTCGTGCAGCATAGCCAGCCCCCCAGCCCGCCCATCGCCGTCGTCATGCCCCCTCGCCCGCCAGCGCACCACAGGTACGTTTTCTTCTTCTTCTTCTTCTTCTTCTTCTTCTTCTTCTTCTTCTTCTTCTTCGTACATTGTGTGGAAGCGTAGGCGCACAAGAAGACGCGCGGTACACACACACACACACACAGAGTAAGCGCGCAGTAGAGAGAGAGAGAGAGAGAGAGAGAGAGAGAGAGAGAGAGAGAGAGAGAGAGAGAGAGAGAGAGAATAGGTGCGCGGTAGAGAGAGAGAGCTGTCTCTTATACACATCTAGATGTGTATAAGAGACAGGAGTAAAAGTGTCTTTACCCGTTCAGACCCTGAATGACGGACACAGCATAATGGGGTCACTCGGCCAGAGCCCAACTCGTGAAAAGCAGGTCAGA